CCAGGTATTGTTCTTTGCGAAAAGGCATGACTGAAGAGTTGTTTCAGCTCGAAAGCCAGTTATCACCACTAGACTATCGTACTATCGCTGCTGGCTACAGGTCATCCACGACTAACCTATTTTTTCAAAGTTGAACCTCAGATTTCGCTAGAGTGCCGTCGCTAGGGGTTATTCTATTTCGGTGAAAAAGCATTGTTTGTCGCGCTGCGGTGCCAATGCTACGGTGTCAGCGCAGCAGTAAAGAAAAATCTCGATAACTCCGCTCAGAGAAATCGCTTTGCGAACAAGAGAGAAGAAGTTTGACGGCACATCTTCGAATACTCCAGCTCTCTCATCAGGAGACGGAGATCGCGGCGAGGAAAGCATTAGAGGCGTTTTGGATTTCTGTTAGGAATCCTCGTATGAACAACCGAGACGAGCGTCCGTCAATTTCCAATGATCTCCTCCCATTCATACCATACTGCGAGCTGTGAAGTCACCAGTGTACGTGCGCCTCCGTATTTCGATACGTATAAGGAGACGCGTTAGTAATTCTCATTCACTACTGGTCGACTAATGTATAGCGGGTTATTCCGCTTGCGGTGGAACAGAGGTGAGCGCTTCTTTCGTTTTGCGGGAGATTCTCGGTTGGGTTAGGACCACGTCATCGGAAATGCTGGGGTGGATTAGGCGCTTGGCGGGGTAGTACACATCTCTAAAACTCGAAACACTTTTAGGCCTTTGAAAAAGACGATTACGTCGAAACGTCAGGCCGCTAAAATAAACTGTTCCACCTAAAAACCTCGAGAGGCACAAGAAAACATACTGAATAAGAACAACTAACATGCCGAGGTTACAAAATGAGAGAAGCTGGAGAATATTTGAAGATGTGCCGCCGAACTTCTTCTCTCTGTTCGCGAGGCGATTTCGCTTCGTCAGAAGGTGGTGGCCACCCGACAGTCTCCACTCAGAGAATTGTTTTGCAAATTTCGAATATAATTATGAATACATCCGTCTCAAGACGGGTACAACGATGTGCATCTCATTGCAAATGGCCAGGCTGACGCCGCTAAGCTCTGTCCGCTAGATCACCGTAAAGCGCTTTCAAGAAGTTCTCCATCGGGCATACAGCCGTCGTCCAGGCGTTCGCTGCCCATCCCCGTTGGGCATCAGTCGTGATGCCTCTGCCAAGCGTCGTCCTCGACACGCATGAACACACGTGTCGCCCACCTGAATCTCGACTTGCAAAAGCGGCGGCGTCTCTGATCTTCGATCGTTGGCGGAGTGCGGAGCTCCGGATTCCCTCTCTCACTTGCGTGTAGCGGGAAACTCCGAGCATCGCCCTTTCGATGGCGCGTTGAATAACGCCGACCGCATGCTCATCCTGCTTTCGTAGAGTCCAAGTCTCTGAGGCGTACGTCAAGGCAGGAAGGACCGCGGAATCGAAGAGGTGGGCACGGAGCTTGGTGTTCTTCGTCTTCTTCGCTACTCCCTCGATGTTCTTGAAGGCTCCCCAAGCCGCTCGCTTCCTCCTGCTCAGCTCTGGAGCTAGGTCATTCATCATATTGCATATTGATTTCACCGACACCTAGGTACACATAGCTAGAGCATTCAGAGATGGTCGTTCCGTTGAGCGTGAATGGGGCATCAGATACCAATCCGTTTCTCATGAACATCGTCTTCGTTAGGTTCAGCCGTAGACCGATTCTTCCACACGCGCAGTCGAATTCAGCCAGCATTCGTTCCGCTTGCTCGATGTTTGGCGTTATCAAAACGATGTCGTCAGCAAAGCGGAGATGGTGTAGTTGCCGACCGTCGATCTTCACTCCCATGTCTTCCCATTCCAGTTGACGCATGACGTTCTCGAGAGAGGCGCTGAAGAGCTTGGGCGAGATGGTGTCGCCCTGTCGGACCCCTCTCTTCACATCAATGATGATCTCCTTGTAGAATGGTGAAATCTTGGTCGTGAAGTTGCTGTAGAGCTCTCGAAGAATCCTGATGTACTGAGTAGGAATACCCTGGTTGCCCAGGGCTTCGATAACCGCTTCTGTCTCAACGGAGTCGAAGGCCTTTCTTCAAGTCGATGAACGTGAGACATAGCGGCATCTTGTACTCTCGCGATACTTCGATGAGCTTCGTTACCGTGTGGATGTGATCGATCGTGCTGAATCCTCTTCGAAACCCTGCTTGCTCGCATGGCTGTCCTTCGTCTAGTGTTCTGCCAATCCTATTCAGGATGACTCGTGAAGAGTTTGTAGACTACAGACAGCAGGCAGATTGGGCGATAATTGCCAATGTCGTACAGGTCTCCCTTCTTGTACAGCAACACAGTCTTGCTGGTTTTCCACGAGGTGGGTACCTTGCATTCCGACAGGTAGCGCGTGAAGAGTCGAGCCAGAGTTTTGACGAGAACTGGCGGAAGATTCTTCAGATGTTCGGGTCTGATCCTGTCGGGACCGGGTGCCGTACGATTCTTCACCGACGAGATGGCGTGTCGGACTTCGGAAGGGAGAACTGCAGGAACGACATATCCATCCTGCTCCAAGCGGTATGGTTGCAGGTGGACGTGGCTGTCAAAGAGATCCGAGTAGAAGTCGTGGATGACCTTCTCCATTGCCCTTCTGGATGCGGTGATTGTTCCATCCGGACGTCGGAGGGCGGTCATCTTGGTCTTACAGTTGGCGAAGTCGCGGCGGGCGTTGCGTATGCTCTTCCCAGCCTCTGCGGCTTCCACCAGTACTGCTGCTCTTCTCTCCTTGAGGTCTTCTTTTATCGCTCCTCTGCATAGCTTCGCAAGCTCAGACGTCAGCTGGTAATTGCCTGCGGCTCGTGCGGCTCCACGTTGGCGAATCAGCTCGAGAGTTTCCAGAGATAGACGCTTCTTGGTAATCTTGGAACCCTCTGACTTCTTGGCGCAGTCGTGAAGATGTGCAACAAGCCGTTCGTATTCCTCGTCGATGTTGTCGATGACAGAATCCTCCCAGAGCCCAGCGAGAGAAGTGAAGTGATCCCAGTTGATGAAGGTCTTTGGGCTTCGCTTCTTGAACTTTGCGGCTCTCTCTCCTCGCATCGAAAAGCGGAATCTTGCGCGAAGGAGGCGATGGTCGGATCCCGTGTAGAACTTAGGGACAACAGCGACATCGATTAGGCAAAACCTTCGATTGCAGATGATGTGGTCGATCTCGTTATGGAATTGTCCACCAGGAGACTCCCATGTCCAGCGTAGAGAGTAGGGCTTCTGGAACTGCGAGTTACCATGGATGGTGTGGGTCGACATGATAAACTCAGACAGCCTTTCACCCTGCTCATTCCACTCCGTTCCGTGAGTTCCGATGTGAAGTTCTTCAGCCGTTCTTCTTGGTCCGATCTTAGCGTTGAAATCACCGACGATGACCTTGAAGAAGGTATGATCTTCCTTGTAGAACTTCTCCAATTCCATATAGAACGCTTCGAGCTCATCCTCGTCGTAGCTTGATGTTGGTGCGTAGGCGACGAAGATTGTCAAAGCTGGAGTTGAACCACATCTTCTCAATCGCAAACGTCCGATTCGGGTCGTCAGATTTTCGTACGAATCGATGTTCATGGCCAAGTGCGTGTTGACGAGGACGCCCACACCGCCAACGCCTCTGCTGTCGCATGTTCCGAGGAACAGTTCTTCTCCAGTCTCGTACACGGCGTGTAGCGGGCGATGCCTCCTCGTCTCGGTCAGTCCGATGACGTCGTACTTGATCTTCCTGGCTTGCAACATCAGATCTTCGATGTGAGCTTCCGATGCAAGCGTCCGTGCGTTGAAAGTACAGATCGTCATCCTAGTCCTGGGCGACTCAAATCTCCGTTGGCCCTGTGATTCTAGCAGCCTCGTCCGAGCGGTCCCAGCCGACGTCGCCCTGTCGGTGGTTCCCTCAGCTTCAGGGGAATGAGGCCCATAGTTGTTACTGTTTTCGGCGAGAAGAAAATTAACCACGCGTAGCTCGCCAGGCTCTGACGTGGCACCCTCCGCATTGGTACGTTTTTGGAACAGTCCAAAACCGTTCACCCCCACGCCACGATGAGGCTGCGGATAGGATTTGTGGGGGATATAAGTTCGCATATTCCTATAATTGCTCTTGGCTTCTACCTAACTCCACCACCCAGATGCAGTCGGTGTCTCTACAGGTGTTTCGCGCCAACAGCCACTGAAACTCTGTGTTCGCGTGGTGGTGATTCCTACCCGCCACCTGAAGAGGGACTTTCGCCTCTCCGCGTCTTCAAGCTGACTCCTCGAGAACGAGTATGGATAGCGGATCGCGCAGGAGAATTCCGGCTATATCGTGAGAGCACCGCGAGCAGATCGTCGGATGGCCCGGCTGTTCAATGCGGTTTCATGTTCCGTACTTGTCGCCATCAACGATGACAAACGAACTCATATGCTCAAGCGACGCAGACGCCAGCATTGACGCTTTTTTGCTTCCGATTTCACGCTAGTAGACATGTCCTCGGAAAGCGGATGGACCAGTCAACGTCCAGTTCTCCTCTTTATAGTGGGCTCCCGCCACCTGATCCGTGCTACCGTCCCATAGTGCAACACTACCATGAAAACCGTTCTCTCTCCATCCGTCTGTCCGTTCCGTTTTGGGCACACAAATCGGCCGCTTAAGTTGCTCAGCACTTTCCCACCAGGAGCAATGGCGTCACCACACCCCACACTTATTTGCGTTAAGCTGGGTCCCCTAGCATCGGGTTCCGAGCCGTTGCACGGACTGACTCCATACGTCAACTCTTCCATACGCTTCACCATGATGCTGCTCCATCTGACGTCCTCGACGCCGTGTATGGCCCTCCTCTCGAGAATACAGTGGCTTACCGTCGGTCCGGCGTCGCCGTTACAAGCCTCTGCCCGGATTCAAGATCGCCGCTCTTCAGATGGCGACAGGCGTGTTTGGTCACTGCGGATCCAAGCAGCGTTTAGCACTGCAGACTCATAGTGGTGCGCCCTAATCGCAGCCGCATTCTATTCTTTCCACAACAGGCGAGGTTAAATAGCGACGGCCACGACCGTGGCCCTGCTCCATCTCGCATCTTCTTGCGGTCACCTCAATGGCGCGGCCACTCTCACAGGCGATGAGGCATCTCATATTCCTGAATTCGCCTTTGCTGCTCCAACCACTCATTTACCGCGAGCACACCATATTTACATCAGTGAAATTCACCAGCTTCAGGCCCACGTCCGGTTACTAAACCGCGTGCGTTTTGGCACTCAAAGCATGTACTGCTTACGAAGGGAGTTCCGTGCGCGCCCCTCACCACTACGTTCGGCGCGCACCCATTCTTGAATGAGTTGCCGAATATTATGTTTTAGCCTTTGTCAGCGGAACCCCCGCAACCGTTAGCCAGCTCTTCCTATCTACGGTGAGATGTCCTAATCCTGAATTGCACTTCCTCTCGTAGACGTTTCCGGTTCCTCTACAGAGTCATTTTTCAGCTTACACCCCAGTGAGGCCGAGGCCGAGGTCTGCCGTCAGATCGTCTTGGCGCTGCTCAGAAAAAAGCGCGTTTTTGGCTATAACTGTCTTTTACAGAGAGCGAAGTCACCTTTTAGAACATTTCGCCAAGCGCATCCAAGTTGACATCCACACCATAGATAGCCGTCTGGGGCGTGGAAGGATATCCAGTAGTCCCCCAACCAACGGACTTCGACTTCGAGAAGTGGGGAAGTCTTCAAAGACCCCCACAGATTGAATGGTTGAATGTAGCCCTGTCGCGGTCGCCACGGACAGTTCGTGCTTGGCCATGAAGATTTCTTAGTCGGCTTGTCGTACTGAGACACCCCACTTCGATAGGTGTGGAATGCCGGCGGCGTAACAACGACCGCATCGCCGCCCGATCTACTCGAAAGCTGGTATCCTTTTTTCTCTCACTTGACGTCCATTTCGGTGACTACTTTATCTTATTTTCCTTCTTCATTTACCCGTTCTCAAGTCCGAAGGCGGACCTTTTCGGAATGGAAGGAGGTGTAAGAGTCCCGTAGGTCATAGGTAGTTAGAGCCGATCGAAGCCTTTCTCGTAATCTGGATTCTACTCTCGTCCAGCAGTGCAGTTCGACTCGTCGCCGCCCTCCTCGACTCCTCCGACGATCTCCACAACGACTGTCGCCTCACTGTCGCTCTTCCAACACTCATCGAGTGGATTGGTCTCGTTCGTATTGCTAATAAGTCAGTGTCCTATTCGTGTATATTCAGAAGCAGCCTTCTGGCACGCGGGGTCAAAAACCCACAAATATGGGTGTATAATCGACATGCTCCCTTCTTCTCCAGCAACAGCAAATGTCATTGGGGAGATTCCGCGAGAGTGGGGGATAGATGCAAAGAGGCAGAAGCAGAGAGCTAGGGGCATTGATAGAGATACCAGCAGAGAACGGAGATACTGAGGAAATTTCCCTCCGAGGGGAAGTACGGCATACGGCTAACGGAA